ATCATCCCCAATAATATTATTGTTATAATAACATTATTATTACATAATGATTCTCTTTAAGAGTTGACGTTAATTTAAAAAGAAAAATTTTCTGTTTGCAATTTTTTTCTATTTTTATAAATAAATAATAGACATAAAAATAAAAATATTATCACGAGACTAGCACGCGTTGGCTTATTGTATACATGTAACGCAAATGAGTTGAGTGGCGCCAAATCGTCTACTCTTCCTCTACGTGAAATTACGTCAATTACAGTTATTCATATATGATATCAATAAGTTCACTGGGTCGGTAAATTATCAATTTTACTGACATTCATTTATATTAAAGGTGTAGAAATTTACTTATCATACGTGAAAAAATTAATTGCAACAAACAATTTCTTTTCACTTTATTTTAATTTTGATTTTATTATTTATTTTTACATTAAAATTACATTAACATTTTTTTCATAATAACAAAGTAAAGAAAAGTTTTTTTTTAACTAATAATTTTATAAAGTTTATAAATATGTGTCGAAAAATGAAAAAAATTTGTTTTTTACTTTAAAGTATAGAAATTTAATCATAATATTTTAATAATAGTTGAGTAAAATTTAATAAGTAATCATTTTCAGAAATAAATTTTAATGTTAATCTACTTATTATAAAAATAAGATTTGAGAGTGAAATATGTAATATTCTTCAGAAAGATAGTTTAAAATTTTAATAATTACCGCGCAATTTAAAAGTCATTGTTTAAGTATTCTCATATCACTTTAGTGCTGATAATAATTATAACTAAAATCTATCAGTTTTTTATTATTAATTGTAAAAATAAAGCTGATAAAAGTATTCAATTATTATTTGTAAACTGCCATAATAATTTTAAATGAATTTAATTGAAAATATAAAAAAAACTTAGATTTAAAAAAAAATTTTTAAACTAAAATTCTTCAGAAATTAGTTTAATTTTTTACCTAATATATAATTAATTGATTATTAAAAATAATGGATTTATAGAAGAATATTTTAGTTAAAAACACTAAAACAAATTGAATTTTGAAGCAATTACAAATGATTGCAGAAATTCAATTATTTTCAAAAGTAGTAAAACTCTACTCAGAAATTCAATTATTTTCAATAATTTTAATAAAATTCTTGGCAAAATTTTAATTATTTTCAAAAACTTTCCTCAATTCAATGATTTTTAATATCTACTACTTTAATAACAATTCCTAGAAGAATTCAATTAATTAAAAAAAAATTTAATAAAATTCTATGCAAACATTTAATTATTTTCATAAATAATAAAACTCAATGCTAAATTTCAATTATTTTTAATACAATTTTAATGGAATTCCTCGAAAAAAGTTATTATTTTTAAAAATTTTATTAAAATTTATCAAAGAAATTTAATTATTTTAATAACCTTTGCTACAATTTATTCATGAAAATTTAAGTATTATTTTCAATAAATTTTTAATTAAATTTCTTTAAAAAATAAAATTATTTTCAAAAATTTTAATGAAATTTTTTCAAAAAAATTTCGAAAAAATCAATTATTTAAAACAATGTTCATAAAATTCTTATGAAGGATTAAATTACTTTCAAAAATAATAAAATTTTTCACAGAAATTTAATTCTTTTTAAATATTTTAATAAACTTTTACACAAAAATTCAAATATTTTGAAAAATAATAAAATTCTTCCCTGTAATTAAATTATTTTTGAGAATTATAATAAAATTTCTAGCAACTATAGGTATTCAATTATTTTCATAAATAATAAAATTCATAGCAGGATTTCAATTATTTTTAATACAATTTTTATCAAATTTCTCAAAAAATACAATTATTCTTAAAAATTTTATTAAAATTTATCAAGAGAATTCAATTATTTAAAAATTTGTTGATGAAATTCTTTATGAAAATTCAATTTAAAGAAACATTCAATTGTTTAATAAAATATTTATTTTTATAGTTAATTAATTGAATTCTCGTAGAATTTTCTACTAAATATTGATTTGAAAAATGAATTTCAAATTAAAATCTTTGAAAATTTAAACTTTTCATACTTTTAATTGAGAATTCTATAGAATTAATTTTTCTCAATAAGTTTAATGGAATTTTTTTTAATTATTTGAAGTTTTTAATTTCTAATATATTTAATTGAAGAATGTCAGAATAATCGAAATTTCGTAAAATGAAATTATAAACAAAATAATATGAAAATTCACAAATAACTTTTTCAAATATTATTTAAAAAAATTGACTTAAAGAATAGTTTTAGTTGAAAATTCTAGAAATGAATAATCGTAATGATGAAAATAATTTTTGTAGAAGTTACACTAACAAAGTAGCAAGTTTTGTTGATACTTAAATAAATAATATAATAATATTCTTATATGTTATTGAATTTCAAATTTTTGAACATCTTAATTTCTATAAAAAAAATAATGATTAAATATTTATTTAAAAATTAAGTTATTGATGTGTTCGAATAATTTTTGTTTTAAGAACCTGGAAAAATTCCGTTTTTAAACCTGAAAAACCTGGAAAAGTCAGGGAATTTGAAAAGAGCAAAAGCGTAACAACCCTGAAAATAAATAAATTGTAATAAATATAATTCTGTTTTTCTTGATTATGCCAAAAGATTATGGGGGGTACAAAAAAATTCGATTATATTTTAAATATACTATTCGGGAATTAATGCCGTATATATATAAGCGTTATAAACAATGAATCTAAAATTAGAAATATCCAAAGACTAGTTAATAAATTGACAACAAAAATAGAAACAGGGAGGGTCTATTGTTTTGTTATGTACACCATATATTGCCATCAGTTGAACTTTTAATTGATCTTTTTATCGCTATGGAAAGATCTCGAACACTCCACTAAATCAGACTATATATTGATTTATAATCAACAGATTATCAATAATCAATAATCAGAATTAGTTATGATAAACTACTCAAGAAACGTGTAATTATTATTTTTTCTTTCAATCCAGTCAAAGTGGATAATTACGATTAGAATTTAATGCTTTCTCAAGAAGACGAAAACGAAAAATTTCTTCAACGAAAATTAAAAGAACAATTAAAATTTTTTTTATTACATGTTTTGCAATTTTTGGTTTTTAAAAAAATTTTGATTTTTTGTCACGGTTTTTTCGGATTTTTCAAAAAATCCACGACAAAAAATCAAAATTATCACCCTCCCCCACCTGATTCCAGTTGAAAATAATTTCTTATGATTTCTGACATTAGTATGTTTAATAAATGTAGAAAAAAAATTGGATCTGAGGCGGGGAAATAGAAATTGTTTCGAAATTTCTGAATTTTCGAAAAATCGGTAACAAAAAAAATGTCAAAATCGTTGCCCTCCCCGACCTGGTTCCACTTGAAAATAATTTCTAATGGCTTCTATCATTAGTATTTATAATTAAATTTAAAAAAAAATTGGATCTGAGGCGGGGAAATAGAAATTATTACGTATTATATTTTTCGTCGAACAAACGTTGGTAACTTCAGTTTCATGTTTATTGTCTTAAATATATTTTCTCAATAACAATATTTCTCGAAAAATGTTAATAGAAATGTTAAAAATTTTCCTTTTCTTTTTATAATATATATTTTTCACTTTTATGACAAAAATTTTTAACGCCCCTCTATACATAAAAAATGAGTCGATAACGAACTTATAGTCTTCGCAATTCATGAACTCCGATAAGAACACGTGACCATCAAAAATACATATTCTGTTTATTCTATTCCATGATGACTTGTTACAAAATACATATAATTCAAAGGCGATACGGGTAATTTTCTGTATTTAAATTAACACCATTGAAATTTTCCTTAAAGCGCAAACTCGAATCAATAAAACGAGCTACATTCTAGGTCTGCTCTCATCCACTTTTTGTTCATATATGTATATATAAGGTGCTTGTCAGCTGTGGATCGAAAGGTAAAGTACAAGGTGAAGGTCAGGGGTAGTAGTTTGTTTCAAGAGAATCCCACTAGAGGGAAATGTGTAGCAAAATTCGAAAAAATAGCCCAAGGACTTTTCTTTCTTTCTTTTTCTTTTGCTAAATTATTATCGTGTTCAATTAGGACTTAATCATAGGAGAAATGAGAAAATTTTCTTTTTTTTTTGAAAAAGAAAAGATTGACGCCAAAGAGAAGATATTTATTTGTAAGAACGTGTGTGCATTTACTTGAGGCAACGGAAATACATGGAACTTTCCAGAAGTCAAGTGGGAGTGAGATAGGAGGCAAAGAAAAGCAAAGAATTTCATGTGGGAGAGAGAGAGGAAACGAGAACCCGTTGCTAAGCCGGTGTTTCGAAAGGAACCTATTTTTGAATTAGTTGCATCATTTTTGAAATTAAGGGAAGTACGTTGCAATTCAAATTTGCAAACAAATTAAAATAATTAGCTGAAATAAATATTTGGGGAGGTTAGTATTGTATTCCTGTAGGTCATGTTTCGGTTCTTTTTTTTTTATTTTCGTCCATAATTTATTTTTTCGTTTATCTACCGATCGTTAAACTAATCTCTGTCAATAGTAAATTTGTTTAAATTTAAATAAAATGGTATTATAATAAGAGTAGTTTGCCGGTTATCAAATTCGTGGTAGATAAGGATGATTACATATGGTAATTGCAACAAGTGACGAATGTTTACTTTACATTTTGCACAGTGCCAAAAATAAGTGCTGCATTAGTTTTTTATTTGTCGGGTTTAACTTGGTCTCTGGTCAACGATGCTAAAGATCGGATTTAATATATACAAAGATATGTTTCAAAGGAAATGGTATTCATTCTACAGTGGATTTTAAGCAAAGTTTCAAAAATACTGAATCTTTCGATTTTTGACTAATGGTACTTTTTGGTTGTTGTATCATGTTGTGAAAGTAGTGTGTCATGTTGTAAAAGCAGCAAGACTAGATGCAGTTTAGTTTGATTATGATTCTCATTTGCTAAAATTTTTTGCCAGTAAAAGTGATGCGTTCTTACCTTCGATTTTGCAAAAGGCATCACACACAGGGGCCATGGTTGCATCATCTGCCTTCTCTTAGATGAGGACATTTTTGCTGTCACCTCCTTCTCACTATTTGTATTTTTAATTTATCGAAAACCGTTTTTGAAATAAAAACCGTTTTGTTTAGGGTTAAAATTCTTTTTTCAACTAATAATTGGTGTTTCAAATCGTGTGAATGCCGGCACACGTGGTTGTGTTATGACAGAACTCGAGGGAAAAAGCCGACTCAGTGCCGTTGCTTAATATTAGAGGAAATGCGCGCCTCCTACTGGCAATCCTGTTTTGTAATTTTCACACAGCACTTTTCCTTTGACCTTCGCAATCCTAATGTCTAATTTTTCAACCCTTAACAATCAAACAAAGTCAATAATCATTCAAGTTGAGTGTTCGCACTCAAGTCAATAATCCCTTGATTGAAATAACTTTCTTTATTGGTATATATACAAAAGTGGGTGAATAGGGGACAATCCGACTATCGTAATTGAAATTATTTTTCACGACACTTCTGGTTTTTCAGTATATGATTACTGGTTTCGCGATATGAAAAATGTATTTCGCTTTATATGTTTGGCAAGTTTGTTAATCAGATCGCGGGGTTTGTCTTTTATATATACGCTGTTGAGACCTGAAGCACCGCCTCCTTCTTTCTGAACTGATTTGGAAGGGGAAACTCGCGGTTAGTTGTGCGAATTGATCTCAGGATTGAAAAAGACCCAGACCAGGAGGCATGGTTCATTGCCGGTCGTTTCTAATGGTGCGATGATCTTAGAAAGAGGTGTATTTAGGAAGAATGAATTCTGCATACATGGGGAAATTTTTATTCTCAATTTTCTTCAAAATCTTTACTATTTTTATTTTAGTAGCATCTTTAAATTTTGTTATCATAGTTATTGGATAACAATTGATTACAAGAGGCATACCATCTATAAAGTTATATCATGCGTTTGTAATTGTCATGCAATTGCGTGTCATTTCACATTGTTTGAGTCATATATATATGTATCATTCTTGATAACCAAGTTCGTTTACTTTACTTTTTTTGTTTCACTTTTTTTTACTTTCTTTCCCAGCAATTCAGTATTCTACTTTTGTCTGCAGGATTCTTTCACGAAAGGAAATAATTTGTGGGTACTGCTAGAATTATATCTAGCGCCCATAATTTTGGTCATGCCGAAATTGGTTGGTAGTTGATAAAATTCTTTCGAAATGTTTTAGTAATTAGTAGTATTTTAAATTTAGTAGTTAGAAAACTAGTAAGAAAAATTGTATAAAAAAATCTATAGTCAGTTTTGGATTCGGTTTCTGGCAGTATTAAAATTTAAAAAATGATGCAATCCTATCAAAAGAGAATTTGAACTTCAAAATCTATATGCAGTTATGGCTATATGGTAGATAACTAAGCTATCTTCAGATGCAACATTTTCAGAACAGCTTTTCGCGAAGGGGTCGAATAAACGAAATCTGCTCGAGGTGCATTACTTCTAATGTTATTACATTATGTTATTACTTAATGTTAATAGATATTGTACTGATGACAATTGCTTCAAATTTCGATTAATTAAAAACAAGTTTAGTCAAAACTGTGCTAAAGTTTGATAAATTATACCAATAAGTCATCAATGGTATTAATAAAAATATCAAGGGAGGAAAATTTACTTCCTACAGCAGAATAAGATTGAGTAGAATACAGAGTATACAGTTAATTAATATTAACTGTTTTATTGATTGTGTAACATAGAAACTGGTAGTTCTTGATCTTGTATTATCAACCGTTTAAAGCAGATCCATTGAAAAGTTTCCATCATTTAAGAGAGAGATAGGATTTTTTTTATGGACAGCAGTAAAAATTGTGGCACTTTTCGACCACACAGAAAAGATTCTGTATGCAATTTACACTTTAGCAAACTTGATCTATTATTTGTTACTTAGAAAAGTAAAAGGTGAAAAGAAAAGGAAAAAAAGTGCAGTAGTGTCTTCCTTGTGGAATATTCGCGAAGTTCGAACTCGATCGAGTTTGTCTCTATAACCAGTCCTTGGTTGTGATCAGTCGCACGTATTCGATGCTTCTCTAACGTACATTTCTTTGATCCCTATATTCGTCTTTCTTATTCTCTTGTTGTACCAAGATATTTATCTTGTTGGTTATTTGCCACAGCAAACTTAACTGACTTACGCACAAAGATCCAAAAAGAAATAAATAAAAACCCTAGTCTCATAATTGTGGAAGATTTTTGCATCAATAATGATGATTCATTTGAGAAAAACGAAATTCTAATATTAATTTATTCACATAGTCAAGAACTTTCGAACGAAAAATAAGAAAAAAGCCATACAAGAAAGAATATTTGAAACCTTGAAAGAGAATTTGGTTTACAGAAATAGAAAATTCAGGTTCGATACACTTTTAGTACTTTGTTTTTTGGTGTTTCTATTTGTGGATAATTTTTATTATTTTTAGGACCGGTTGATTCACCTGTTGATAAATTTATCCCGAATATATTAACAGGTGGATCAACTGGATCTTTTCTTTTTTTCGTCTTTATCGTTAGGTTTATATATATTTAAACGATGGAAAATTTTATTCTTTATGTCATCTTTTTTTACCGATGAGAAATGTGTATGAAAACTGGTTTTTAAAGTATATATAAATATATAATTACTGAATTATTAATTATTACAGTATGAGTTTATTTCCATTTCATTGAATTTTTAAATTTCTTTAAATACCTTTTCTGCCATTTCCACAACTTCTTCCATGTTTTTAATTAGTGGCACGTGTAAAAAAATCTTTAGACACTGAAAAATATAACTAATTTAAGTAAAATGGTAATTTGACAAAGAAATGTCAGCAGTAAAGCCGTCCCCACGTTGTGAAAAAAAGTCGTGAAAAATTTCTCAAAAAAATTTTAGCACACTGCAATGAATGAATATTATACGGAATATGATCCTCTCATTACTTGAAACTCGTCTTTTCTATGGATGAGAAACATATATCAGATGTGGATTATTTACATATTATGTAGAGATTACATTTATTGTAAAAGAGATAAAATTGACAACTTGTTCTTTAAAGATGATTTATATTAATCTCCACACAGATTCTGCAAAATTTCAATTTCTACGAAGTTATATTGCTATTAGTAAAAAAATAAAATATAACAAATAAATTTAGCAGATTAGATAGTATTTTTTTCGTTGGAATTTTTACTTCTCTTCCTGTTTTCAATTTTTTTTTTTTTAATTGCAAGCGTAGATTTTTCATCTGCTTCTTTTATAAGAAAAGAGTATATATAGAATTTTTGTTGAAAAAAAACTTTTTGACAGAATTGCGAGCAGAATTGTTCCAAAGATTTATCTGAGACATGTTTCTTTCATTAATTTTATAGTCCTAATTGTTTATTGACAATTGAAAATCACTGAGATAACATCGTCATCTGACAGTCAAGTCATAATCAGTGCATGAAGCTGACACTTTGTATTAGTTGACATTTACTTTTAAATATACATATAGGTAACATTTTTTTTAAGTCTGAAAAAAACATACATGTAGGTAATATTGTCTTTATTCCGATGGTAGTTAAAAAGAAATTTATTTTCCATTTAAATGAAATGAAGTTGTGGTTACAATGGAAGTTATATATAAATAAAAATAGATAATAATTGTTTCTCTGTCTATTATTTACGGATGGTATTATATAACGTGTAACATAAAATTAATACACAGAAGAAGCTTTATAAGGATATTTACGGAAAACATTTCAAAAAAAGAGGATATTAAAAACAAATGATTGCTGCTGCTTTTTCTATCGATGTTTATTGTTTTCATTTTTACACCTAAAGTAACGGTGTAATTTTTTATGCAAAGCAATCAAAAGTGCAGGTTAATATTCTGTTATCTTTTATGTTCTCTAAATTTGTATCAGCGATAAGTGTATATTTGTTTCAATCAATATGCATACACTATGATGCATCTGTAGCAAGTCACTGAAATTGAAAACTTACTCAAAGCTGATTCAAATTTGGAATGTGCATAAGATTTTGAAAATCCGTTTGTCTGTTATATACATCAGTACAAAAACAATTCGGTAAAATAGTATTAAAAATACGAACAATAGAACTTATGTTGCACACTTGTATTTAGTATTACACTTGTAAGTTCTGTTAGTTAAAGTAAACAGAAAGATTTTTGAAAAATTTACCAACAATTGTCAGACTTACAACTGTAGCTGACTTTTAATTTTTCAAAAATACGGAACAAAAAATACTATACCTGATAATTTTGTTAAATAAATCCAATTTTTAATTCACAATCGTTGGGGAAATGATTAGTGGAACAAAGCTTTTAATAAAGCAACACAAACCGATATAAATATTGTTAATTAAATAAACAAATGTCCATTAAAAAAACAATTCCTTTTATATTACAAAAAACAACTATAAAAACTAGATTTTTTTTCTATTAAAAAATTAGTCTATGCACTCACCAGTTGATAAAAAACTTTTCGTCAAAGGAATTTAAATTAAATTAAAAAAAGATATATTTCTCTTCTTAAAGACACTGGAGGTACTAAATTTAAAAATTAAACTCCAAAATGTAATTTTGAGTAGAGATTATATAGTCTTCTATATATCTGTATAGAAGACGGGCCTCAAAAATTTCGACCAATAGGAGACGAATTTGGAGAGGTGTAACTAATTGGGTATTTAGTGATAAACAATAGGATAAAGTGAAGATAGTTATAAAAAAAGATAATGACCTATTACTATATCTCTGGTATAGCATTAATTGCTCATATCTATAAATTAACAACCTTCAAACAATTTAAGTATAACGATTTTTATGTTTCAGAATATTTCGAGAAATTATTTTTTAATTTTTCATATTATTATTATTTTTATCTTACCAAAATTGTCAACTTTATCTTTATATAATTAAATATTGTGTTATTTAACTTAATAAAAGGCGCTATGTATTTAACAATAAGGGCCTTTAGAAACTGATTGGTCATTAAACTATAATATAATTACTGTTTTTTTTTGTAATCATTAATATTTATTAGAAAACTGACAAAGACGTTACACTTTTTTTCTTGTCATGTTCTCATTGTTTCTTGTTATTATTTTTTCCACTATAAAAATTATTCCTTGAAACTGTTTTTTTATGTGTGTCCTTGCATTTTCGAATTAGTATTATTTTTTTTGTTTGTTTTTTAATGAAAAATGTTAACTTTATTGTAACATCGGATACACGTGAAATAATTTGTGTATCTTTTACCTATATAATAATTATGTCCGTATTTTTCAAAGAATTTAATGATTTAACGTTAATTTTTAATTATTGTTTGGTTTATACATTGATTGTGTATTTTCTGAAGGTTATTTTCATGTTGTAAATACAGTTATTGGATTTTCTTTTAATTGTTGGAGGCATTCTTATCATTTTTATCAAATATTATCAAATTAATAGTTTGTTTTACTTTAATGTCGCACGTTTTTTTTTTTGGGAAAGACGTCAATGTTTCTAAAGTAATATATAAACATTAGTTTGACGCCAGTTTTATTGGAAGGATGGAGGAG